AGAGAGAGAGAGAGAGAGAGAGAGAGAGAGAGAGAGAGAGAAAGAGAGAGAGCCTCAGCTCGATTCGACGTTGTGTTCTTTGGATAGCCACTTTACACGAATTTCCTACTTGGCTCGGTCCTTTCGGAGACGGACGTTAATCTAGGAGGCCCCCGCCTCTTAAATAACCAAATAGTGTTGATAATGGCGTTAAACCCATACTATTTCTCAATTTTCACCAGCCATGGAGCTCTCAGTCAAGTCTCTGGACGGCCGAGTGCACGCTGTGGAGGCTCAGATGGAGGCGTTTGTTGGGATCGGGAAGTCCCTCCAGGGGGAGAGTCAGAGGGAAAGGGAGAAGGTGAGCATGCTGGAGGAGGAGGTGGCGGCCCTCAAGAAGGAGAACAAGGAGATGATGGACAGCTTGGCCAGTGTCAACGCAGAGGTGGGCCAGTTTTTGTGTTGTGGGTGTGGTTTGTGGGTGTGTGTCGTGGGTGTCGTTTGTTGGCTTGTATTTTGGATGGGGTTTTGTAGGCGAGGTTTGTGGGTGTGTGTGTTGTGGGTGTGGTATGTAGGCGGGGTTTGTGGGTGTGGTATGTAGGCGGGGTTTGTGCTTGTGTATTGAGGGCGGGGGTTTGGTGGCGGGGGTTTGTGGGTGTGTTTTATGGGCGGGGTTTGCGGACGGGGTTTGTGTGTGAGTGTTGTGGGTGTGCTTTTTAAGTGTCTTGTGTGTGTTGCGTCTTCTTGTCCTTTCTGGTGTTTTCTACTTGGTGAGATCTGTAGGTGTGTATATTGTGGGGATGTATTGTGGTTCTGTTCTGTGTATATCTTGTGGACGTGTCTAGTGGATGTGCTCTATGAGTACCTATTGTGGGCGTGTCCTGTAGGCGTGTCCGGTGGGTGTGTGCTATGGGCGTGTCTTACGGGCGCGGTCTGTGTTCATGTCTTCTGTGAGTGTTCTGTGATCCTGTCTCATAAGTGTGTCTTGTGAGTGTAACTTGTGCTCATGCCTACAATGTGTACCCACGTTCTAAACGTTGCATTGACTCCTTGAAAAAAACCTAGATGAACCAAAGCAAACTGAAGTTGACTAACGATAAAAATTTCACTGTGGCAGTAGGTTGAAATTGAATAAATTATTATATTGAAAACGATCGCATTAACACAGGCAGTGCCTGAATTGCAGTTTCACGAAATGTTGAAAAGTCTTGGCATATTTTTTTAAATTTTGATTGATCAATGTTGAGAGATGTGCACCCTCTGTTCAACAGCTTGAAATAATGTTTAAAAAATCATTAAAATACGTTATTCAATCATCACTTACTGTACTGCTTTATTAGTGGTTAGCTAGGTATTATAGCTACTTGATTATTGCAACAATTTGTCATTAGAGACATCCATGGAGAGAGTGAAAAACTTCAAATTATTTTAAAATAAAGCAGTACATTTTTAGTTTTTACAGAAAAGAAAGCTAGACTCTCCTACGAATCTTTTATGGAATCTGCACTAGCTTCCCGTTGAGAAAAGAAAAATCTACAAGTAGGTCATTCTATGTCACAAATGCCTAAATATGTCACTACGTGGTGGAAGCTGACGATCGTCAATTTTTGGACATGTGGAGTTATTGATATCTTTCACATCTTGTCCATTTGTCTTGCTTTCGGTGAAAGAATAGAAGTCAAGAAATTTGCGATTGAAGGAGGCAGGGTCGCTTGGTTTCAGAGGTAAAATTAGTGAGAAAATGTCAGCCAAAGACTGGCAACTTCCAACGTTTGAGTGTCCTTAAAAACAGCAAATGTATAGTTTTTTAGCTTTAAATCAGCATTTTTTCCGTGAAATCTACACAGAAATGTTTTTCCTTAACCATGTTGAGTCAAAATATTCGATAAAAATTGCCAAACGGTCCGAAAAATACCAATTTCTTAGATTTCATATCTTGACGAGTACCTGATTTCACAACGCTGCCTCACAATATAGTACGCCATTACATTGATCAAATCTGTTACTGTAGTACATTCCAGCTCGCAGGTGAAAATCCTCAACAGTCAAAAATGTTACGTTATTATTACCTTCAATGGAACTAAAAGCAGTGTTAATTGTTGGGGCTTTTTCATTTCAAGGCTCCAAGACCTGGTAAATAAAGAGAAACCAATTTTTTAATGCAATCAACTGTCACTTAAAGTTATTTCTTTTTTTTTCTTTTAGATAAATGTATCTTGATCATTTTAAGTCAGAACAAAATGCACTGTTTATATTTCGTTACGTGTATATGCAAAGCAGCAGCCAGAGCCTCTGCATTACAAACAGCATTATTATTATTATTATTATTA